ATAAATAAATTCAAACTATTATAAAAATCTATTAAAAAAAACTATAATAACAATAAGATATAGAAAGGTATTTACATGAATAGTATGTACAGTATACTAAGACAACATACTAAATACTGTTAAAAGTACACTTCTATCGGACAAGATACCTGAAGGAAAACAACTTTAGGATTTTGTAAATTAACTCAAGTTTTAAAAGAAAAGAAAAGAAATACTGTTTTTTCATACGGTTCTCTTAAAGAAGACATATTCTACTATTTTTCAGGTTCATATGTTTGTATGTTGTGTCTCTGCTGTGCTTTAATGTTCAGGGTTGAACACCCCAAAAAGCTTAATAGGGCCCCTTTAAACCAATATATTGAACTGTTTTAAAGCAGAGGATTTCAGTTTGAACATGAGGTTGTCAGGTGTGACTCTGTGAGCGCCTTAGTAGAATTTAGCTGGTGTCCTCATTGAGGACTTAGGGGACCCTTCACTACCAGAGATAACATGAAGTCAAGGGTGCCCTAAATCTGTGTAGCTCCGCTCTGTTTCACAACACTTTCAGGTGATTTTCAGTTCTTTAATTATGTAATTTGAACACATTTAAAACAACAGTTTGGTTTGTGTTCCAATACAATGTTTATTATTTGAAAGAGTCCCTTCCTCTACATCGGGGCGGCAGTACCGCCGTCTGTAGGGACTTGGCTTGGGAACTGGAGGGTTGCTGGTTCAAGTACTGTAATGGCCTGGCACTTTGAGAGGTGTGCCAGTGTCCCTCCCTGGCTCTGCTCAGGGGCCCTTGAGCGGGCATCAGACCCCCACACTGCTCCCTGGGAGCTGTATAATATGTGCTATACTGCTAATACTAAAATAAGATAAGATAGGACTTTATTTATTCCGAAGGAAATTCTTGTGCCAGAGTTACAAAGATACAATAAACACAGCAGCATAATAATAAAACTATACACTAACAGTGTATTAAAAAGAGCAATTAAATAACTACAAGTAACATAGGCGGTCAAATTATTTATGTAAAAAATCTATGGCGAGCAGTATTGAGTAGTGCTCAAAGACTCATTTATTATTGTTTAATAATAATTAAGTCTCTGATCCACATCACCATTCCTCGGCTGTGACCGATGGCTGCCTGTGACTCATCATCACCCGAACAGTAAGGAGGAGGTGACGTGCATGCTGGGAAGTCATGTGACAATCTGAGCTGAGATCAGTGTTAAAATGTCATCTGTTTGAAAGATTCAAAGTAGGCCTAAAAAATAAAAAGTGTTGTGGTGAATATAAAATAAATAATGAGTTTTAAATCATTATTCACTGAACTGATTCATCTTCCTATTATACACACATGCATTTCCAAACATTTGGACTACCTATGTTGCAAATGTATTATCTTTTCAATTTACACACGGCATCTATTGCACGTCTGTCCGTCCTGGGAGAGGGATCCCTCCTCTGTTGCTCTCCCTGAGGTTTCTCCCATTTTTCCCTTTAAACTGTGGGTTTTCTCTGGAAGTTTTTCCTTGTACGATGTGAGGGTCTAAGGACAGAGGGTGTCGTATTGTCATACTGATATTCTGTACAAACTGTGAAGTCCACTGAGACAAATGTAACATTTGTGATATTGGGCTATATAAATAAACATTGATTGATTGATTGATTGAACTGTGTACAACAGTCCACAGAACCTCGTGTGTCGCAGTAAAACTGCCAGGCCTGTAGTGTTTTTATGACATCAATAATGATTTGTTGTAGAAAAGTTTTCAAACTATCTACGAAACTTTAAATATTTAAAATGTTATTACCAACAGAAACATAAGCAGTAACTTGTTGTTTTTGTAGAATTTAAGAAGTAACTCACCCTCCGGGCATTGGAAATACACGGCCGCTCTCGGAGCTTCTTCCTCGGCCTCCACCCGGCAGTCCCCCCCGCTGGATTTCTTCTTGCTCCCGAAGTAAAGCTCCAGTTTGTTCTTCACGGTCTTGGTCTGGGCCGGACCCCAGTCCCCCTCCACGGTCACCGGTGGCGGACTCTCGGTCTGCTCCATCGTGTTCTCCGGTAACTCTCCGACAGACTGACAACAACACACGGAGCTCGCTTGGGCCGCGGCTGATTTCACTTTCGTTTCCTCTCTCAGAGAAACTTAAACCTCCTCCTGCTGCTGCTGCTGACTCACAGAGACACAAGGAGGCTTCGACATATTACAAATGACTTCACGTGGGCTGATCATAATACATATCTACTCAGCAAATATAAATTAAAACATAGTTTAGGAACAACCTCCCCCCCAGCAGTGCTGTAAAGTAATTAAGTACATTTACTCAAGTAATATAGGCCTTACTTAAGTACAATTTTGATATCCTTGTACTGTACTTAAGTATTTCAATTGTTTGCTACTTTGTGCTTCGACACAACTACAATTCATAGTAAAACCATTTGTTGATGGTCCCTAATGAGTTCATAATATGGACTCATTTAGGGACCAACGAAGTGCTGCTATTATCGCCAGGATCATTCATTCAAGCGCTTCTTCATCATGTGACCTAATAACTTCAAAACACTTTCAGAAAAGAAAACTAGTCTTTACACAACAGACACACCTCTTTATATAGAATGTTGGTGCTTGCTTTATTTACTATGAATATTTATATTGAAATGTCAGCGTTTTTCTTCAATAGCTTACAGTATGTCATGTGACCTAATATCGAGATAAGGTCTGTGGTTGAAACACATTTAAGAGACGGATCACGTTTTGTTCAGTCGGATAATCTCCACATGTCTACTTTTATAATTTTCGAATCATAAATCTATCAATTAGATTACATACATGCATTCTTCTCTTGCATACATATATTGTCTTCAGACATGCATATCATTATTTATAATATTAAATGTAAACACTGAATGAATGTGCACGAGAGCAACATGTATGTGTAAGTGAAAAATGTATAAATATGTGAGTGACAATGTATGAATGTGTGCATTGAAATATGATAATATGAGAGCAAAATGTATGAAAGTGAGTGTAAATATATATGTGTGTGAGAGTGGAAATGTATGTATGTAAAAGGAGAATGTATCTGTGTGAGAGTAGCCTACCAGTATGAACTACGGCCTGTACGGCCCCTTTTTATGTTTTCATATTTTATGACAAACTATACTATTGTGTCATATTTCTCGTCATAATATACGATAACTTTTTTTTTTAACCCTAACCCTTTTTTCTGTTTTTCAAATTAATTTAGCATGACCTTTTTTTTCTACATACTTTTACTTTCTCTCCAATTTTTCTGACATATTGTACTTTGACTTTTTGTTGACTTACTATACTATTAATCTTTTGGACATAATATACAATGATTTTCTTTTTTGACTTACTGTACTATGAATTTCTCTCCGATTTTCCGACATATTATACTAGGGCTTTTTTTCGGCATACTATTAGATATACTATACTACCAGTTGTTTGCCTATTCATGTACGGACTTCTTCTTATTCATGAAACTCGTATAACTCCATAGAAGTGAAGAGTAGAAAGACAAAATAAGCACAGAACAATCTTTATGCTATCAAATAAAGTTTTATTCTAAATGAATGACAGAAGAAAGTGCCACGGTGATTTGCCAAAATCAAAAGTGCTTGCGAACACAACCAAATAGGTTTTTCTCACAATAAGGAAAACAGTAAAATGCAGAGTGCTACTAAGATGTTAAGTCATGTATCACCACATTTAATATAAAATTACAAAGAACAGCTCATAACATGCCGATTTCTAAAAACACAAAAACTGCTTGATACAGTTATTAAAAGTTAGACAAGGAGTGTGTAGAAATTAGAAAGGGTTTTTTAAAGAGATATTAACAGGGTAGTATCATTAGAGTGAGGTGTGCAGTGTATTCAAACAGGCTTACATTTGCACAAATACTTATAAATGCAGCGTTTAATTACCAAACACCTGATGGTCTCGTAGTTACAAATGAAAATAAATAAGTCAATAAATAAATAGACTTTTAAAACGTACATCAGGAAGCTTTGTTTTTGCTCTTTTATGAAACTTACCCTCATGTTCAACCTTCCTCAGCTCTCTGAAATCTAACTTGTTGATTCGTTTAATAACTTCTGACTTTAATCATTGTCCCCCTGACTACACATGCTTCGTAACGTTTTAAAACCACGCTTTGTCTCGAGTACGTCTACAGATAATCACTCCATCCTCCGCCCTTTCCCTGACCGTCCTCCCTGAACCAAAAACCCTCTGGTCTCGTCTCCAAAAACAGACCGTCATAGGAGCTGGCTACAATAACACTGGATTTCTACACTTGCCAAGAAGACACAATACAGAAGCGCTACATTGTTAAGATGGAAAATAATTCCCTATTTATAGATCCTAACGCAGCTCTGGAGGCCAAAACGCATTAAGAGCTATTTGGGTCTCTGTCAGCGATACTTCCCACTTTAAGTGCATTGATTGTTTCCATCTGGCAGCCGTGCTCCTGCAGGGCTGAGCGGCTGAAATCACTTTAAATGTTGTTTTTTCTGCCGGGATTCCTCATCGTAATCAGGGATAACAAATGCAACCATCTCAATTCGACTTTGTAAACCTAAGAACCAATAAGGCATTATTGTGCATTTCTCCCATGTCTTTTGAAGGGATGACAGATATACATAGAGTGTTGCAAGTATGAAGTCATTTTATTATAAGATGATCTGATAGTTAGCATCTTCCTGGTTCCCTCGACATAAAGCCATTGAGATTTTTCCATTGGATTTCGGAATATTGCAGAAAACAAGCTCTGTGTCAAACACATGTTTACAGTATGATACTTACACGTTTTGTTCACCAGGATAATGTTCAAAAAATAACCCTCCTTGATTTTGGAAGCGTTAATACCTTATAAGTAAATAAGTAAAAAGGTAACGTTAGGCTATAAAGGAACTACAGCGTGGTCACATGACTTCACGTCACCGCAGATTTGCCTTCTTAATAGTTTGTTTGGGTCCCTCACTTCCGTTTCGCTTCTCATGCGCTGATTCGCTAGCTGAACAGCCAATCAGAGTGATTTCTTTTGCCGACAGCCTTTGGCCTACTGCCCACCGATTGGACATGTTGAAATCGGCTTGGTGTGTCCGGGCCTTAAAGGCGGCTAATGTTAGGAGAGATTACTTTTATTAGCCTCATTTAGACACTTGTTAGCAACCGCTGTTTGAAAGACAAGTAGAAGCTTCAGAAATTCACCAGTGGGGTATTTACTGACTAAATACTAAATCTCTAAAGCTTGTGTTAACCACAGACCTTATTTTAGGTTTCTAACCACAAATATCTTCAAAAAACCATTGACTTGAGGTGAAGGAACCAGAAGTGCTAAGATGCTAACTCATTTTGGTGCTTAAGGACTCATTCCTGCACTGCTCTGAGTCTGTAGCTCGTCCCTTGAGATGTAAACGGTCCTGCCTGCAGTGTGCAAAGTGGAGCGCCACTATAGCTGAACTGGGTCAAACATGCTCTGAATGTGATTCAGCCTCCTTAGCCTCTTTGAAGGCATCACTTCTCTAGAAAACACTGATTTCCGAGTTAAAATATATTCCTTAGGTCAAAGTAAAACTTCCCAAAGCCTGATCCCTTATTATAAAACCCTTATCGTGACCCTAATGTTGACCATCAAAGGAGCACATTCAGACGTAAACATTCAAAGCTTCATTCCCAACCCTAACCTCAAACTCTAACCATCATTGTTCAATAACCAAGACACTTCAGGTCGATCCTTCTTCCAAAAAACGTAAAAATAAATCCCTGTTTCCTCTCCAGTGGGTCCTGGTCTAGGAGCTGATGATCTTTCCGGACCAGGTCTCGTGCTTGGAGACGGGGTTCAGGTGTGTGAGCCGCACCTCCACAGCCTGGATCTTCTGGTTCTTGGGTGGGATCGAACACACTTTGTACGTGACCTCGTCCCCCTCCATAGGCACATACTCTCCATCAATGCTGTCAACAAACACACACACAATAGTTTTTTAACTCATGAGTTAGTTCTGTGTGCTCCAAATAGGTGATCCAAAAAATGATTTCAACACTTCCATAAAGTTAGGGGATTTTCTCGAAACATTTTTTGCTTTTTTTAAATATGGATTGTGGGTCATAAAAGCCACAAACGCTTGCTGGGAAGTGATCAGATATAGTAGGACAAGCTGGTGTTTTTGGCATGCTAAATAGTGAGGTAGTGTTAGTAATAGAACGCATCCCATGTCATATGATGGATGTATAATACATGCTTCCATTAGAGAAACTGTTGCAGTGTTTACTAAACTAGAGTTCACTCACTCAGAGATGTGGACGAAGATGTCTTCTCCTCCGTGAGACGGTTTGATGAAGCCGTGACCCTGAGATCTGGAGAAGTTTTTACAAGTTCCTTTAAACACCGGACCTGACCTCGCCCGCACTGTCCTGCAGAGAGAGAGAGAGAGAGAGAGAGAGAGAGAGAGAGAGAGAGTAATGTAATTGTATCACTGTATACAGTATATATATCATCAATAATATGTAAACATTTGAAATGTATGTTAATGTTGTTAATTATTTTGTATTGTAATGCTTTGGCAACATTGTTTAATTTAACTTTCATGCCAATAAAGCCCCTTTGAATTGAATT